AAAAAAAAAAAAAAAAAAAAAAAAAAAAAAAAAAGAAAGAAAAAAGAAAATACCCTTCTTTCTAGGAATTGATGAGAGATACCCCAAATAGAATGAACCGAATAGAATAGTGATTAACCTTTGTTCCTTCTAGAATAGCAGTGTTTCAGTTTTCTGTTTAAGTATTTGATTGCAGAGAATTTGAAGAATACCAAGATATACTAAAGATACTTTTTAGACATAGACAAGCCTTTTTAAAATCCTCTTTTCTGCTTAACATTAAATAGTGAGCATTTCCTGTTTATCATTATTTATCTTCAAAAACATGATTTTTAATGACCCAAGTAGTCTATTGAATAAATACACAATATTTGTTCTTTGCTTTTTCCCCAATTTCTTCACCCTGTCCTTGGGAAACCAGATTCTCCCTCAGACAACACCACCATCAGTCTCTTCTGCACTTTGTTGGTCCAGAGGTATACATGTGACCTATTAGGCCAGTCTCTCTTTTTTAAATTTCTTGTAAACTACTTGTCTTCTTTTTTTTTTAAATTTTTTTTACCTTTTACCTGTTCTGGATGTTAATGGAATATGAAGCAAGAGCCATGGTATCTTTCTGGGGAAGTCACTGTGAATGCTTCAATTCACTATATTGTATTTATCTTGTGTCTGCTAAGTGGCCACCACATGTTATCTCAGATGTCTTTAATGACATCACATTTTTCTCAAGCTGTGTGGAGAGTGGATCCCTTGGGGAACCTCTCGCCCAAAATCTGGGAGATGAAGTCTGCCTTGGCCGCCTGAGTTCAGCCTGACTATAGGCCAAGGTGGCTTTGAGAAGTGATGTGGGTATAAATGTTGTAAGGCAGACAGATGTTACCTGAAATGAAAACACCTAGAGCAAAAGTTAAGTTTATACATGTTACATAAGGTAGATTCCAGGAGTCATCCTTGATGCCTCTTTCTCCCTTAACTTCATCTAATCTTTCACTAAATACCTACTAAATATCTCTCCACTCAGTCTTGTTTGCTGCTCCTTTTTCTCCTCCTTCTTATCCTCTTCTTTGGCCAAAACTGGAGTCAAAATCACCATTATCTTTGACCTGGATTATAAGAATACTGTAAGTAGTCCCCCTGTACCCACTCTGGTTCCCCTTTAATCTGTTCTCTACACAACCTTCAAGTGGCATAATCTGTTACCTCCTGATGACACCTTCACTTCTATGTCTTTCCATGGTTTTAAGACAGACAACATTTAACATGGTCTCTAGAATCCTGCACTATCTGCTCCTATTCATCTTCTCAGCCTCACCTGATCTTACATTTTCCTGTCTTTATCTGCATCAGCCTCAGTGGTCTGCGTTCAGTTCCTTGTACGCACATCACAGGGTCTTTGTACCTGTTGTCTCTTTTGCCTGTTTGTGTCTTTTCTTATCTAGTTAATGCCAACTCATTCTTCAGGTCAAGCTGCACTTCCTCAGCATTGCCTTACCCCGGTTTCACTTTCTTATAGCATACTCTCCCTTGTAGCATTTGTCATAAATATGTGATTAATCAATTAATGTCTATCCTTCCCCTTAGACTCTAAACTTCATGAGGACAGCAATCATGTCCATTTTCTTATTTACCCTAAACCAATTAGCTGAGTCCTGGCACGTAGTAAATGCTTAATATATATTAGTTGAATAAATAATGAATAGATGGAATGTCATTTCTTCAACATTGGATGTCATGTGGTTTACAGGCAAGCAGCTTCCTTCAGGGAAGCTTGTTAGAGCATAATAGAATGTGCTTTCAGATCTTCCTATAAGAAGATCATTTGAACATAGGTCTATGGATCTGGCAGGATGTAAAGCTTACATTCCATGTGTTAATTACAGTCAGTTACTAAAGCCTGGTCAACCTGCAATCGTTGCATGGATATTTATACTTCTACAGAGAGGCTTCTTGTGATGAATATAGCATTGTAAGTTTGTAATTTTTCAGTATTCCATTAATGGTGGCATCCACTCATTTGTTTAATTGCTTGAATTCTTTCCTAAAAATTTGTCTTTCTCTCTCCCTCTTTCTAGGTTTATGGTCAATGTGACATGGGATGGCAAGGACTTATCCTTCACTGAGGAAGGCTACCAGGTGCACCCTAGGCTGGTGGTGATTGTGCTGAACAAAGACCGGGAATGGGAAAAGGTGAGCATCCTTCTGTGAGCTGAATGCAGGGGAGGGATGAAAGCATGAACAAGAAAGGGGCTCATAGTGCTTCTTTCTCCCAAGCGTTTTCTGTTGAGCTGCTCTAGATCCCATCTCACAGTCAAGAGCACGTCTTTCTTGCAACAAGGCAGACTACATCTGTAAGGTGCAATTCAAATCCTTCCCAGTAGGAAGGATTTGAATTTAGGATAATTTAAAGACACTGAAGTTTGGGTTGCAGCATTACACTAGTAAGTGTTGACTAGATAGCAATGATCACAGAAGTTTACTTAAACTTCCTAGTTGTGTACTGTGATAATTGCCATATGAACTAACCCTCTATATTCTCATGTACTCAGTCTTCTACTTTAAATAAATGAATTTTGAAAACTTAAATGTATCACTTCTGTAAATCAAGCTTTAGAGAGGGAGGTCATGTTTCTTGTAAAGCATATTTTCAAGTACATGTATATTAACTATTGAAAAATACAAAAAAAAAATCAGCATACAAAGAAAAAAATCATGTTATGTACCATACATATCACGACCTGAGTCAGAGAGGAGAGACGTTGCAGGGAATTTACAGATGATCTCATACATGCAATGACAATATCTGTCCCAGTTGCCCCTCTTTATTCCTTCATAATTCAATGGTTAAGTCACTATAATTTCATATACAGACTGGAATAAAAAAGATCCAAAAGGAAGCCTATGTTTATATATTGTTATCTCATTTTTTTGGTATTCTTTTTTATTGGTTTGTTATTTGACAAGCAATGCATGACCTTTGAACTACTCCAGCATCTTAAAATTTATCTTCACTTAGTACATCAAATGGAAGCCCGAGTGACCTTAAAGGGAAGGAAGATACAGGATGTGGTGTGGGACTCATAATGTAATTGACTGAAATCAGAGGAAATACTATACAAACAAAAGCACTGACTTTGGGAAGACAGTGACAGATTCCTAGAAAAGAACAGTAATGAGGAAGCTTAGGAAAGTTTTGCATGCTACACCCAACAGCTACAAAATACACAGCCTTTCAAGTGCACATGGGAAATCCACCAAAGAAGACTGCATTCTGGAGCATAAAACGAAAGTCTCAATGTATTTAGAAGAATTGAAATAATGCAAGATACATTATTTGATCATAACAGCATTAAAATAAAAATTAGTACCAAACATATACCTAGAAAATCCCCAAATGTTTGGAAATGGCAACACACTTCTAGACAACCTATAGGTCAAAGAAGAAATCAGAAAGACATTAGAAAATACTTTGGCCAGAATAATAATGAAAACACAAAATATCAAAATTTGAAGAATAAGATTAAAGGTGTACTAACAGAGATTCATAGTTTTAAATGCTTATAATAAAAAAAGGAAAGTGTGAATTCAGGGTCAATGATTTAATCTTATAAATTTAAAGTTAAAAAAAGAGCAAAGTAAACAAATGAAATAGGAAGAAAAAATAATAAATACAGGACTAAAAATCAACAAGGTAGAATACAAACTGTAGAAAAAATCAACAAAGCCAACTAGTTCTTTGAAATGACTAATAAAATTCATAATCCCTACCAATAATGATCCCACACAAGAGAGAAAACACAAATAAACCAATATTAGAAATGCAAGAGGGACTATCACTTACAGACTTTACAGATCCTAAAGGCATGAAAAAGATGAAAAGAATATTATGAAAAATGTATGACAACAGATTTGACAACATGGATAAAATGGGCAAGTTCTGAAGAAACACAATTTTCTACAACTGACATAAAGGAATTAACAATCTGAGTAGCTCATATTTGCTGAAAAGCTGAAAATATACCTAAAAACTTTCCTATTTTAAAAAAACAAAAGAGAAACTCCTGGACCAGATGGCTTCAGTCTATACTATGTCAAATATTTAAAAGAAATAACACCACTCTATACAAAGTTTTTTAATATGCTACTAATCATAATCTAATAATATATTTTAAAAAGGATAATACATCATGAATAAGTGGGGGTTATCTTAGGAATGCAATATTAGTTTAACTTTTAAAACAAATCAATATAATTTATCATATTAACAGAGTAAAGGGGGAAATTATATGGTCTTTTAAATAGATGCAGAAAAAGCATTTGACAAAATTCAATATCCAGTTATGATAAAGATGGTAAATTCCTCAATCTGACAAAGGGTATCTATGAAAACCCTATAATATATATTACATATCTATTCATATGTATTATGCCTCATATATATATATATATATATATAAAACCTCTTATATCGATCAGTTGATCCACTGAAGCTCTGACTTCATATATTATGCATATATTATATAAATATATGCATCTGATGAAATTCTTTATTTGCTAGTTTTAAAGTTTTTCTATTTTATTCTAAGTTATTTTACTATGTATAATATATATTAAATAAGCTCATATCTTATTAATGATGAAATAATGAAAATATATCCACAAAAGCACATTCAAATGATTTTTGATGAATGATTATGACAACAGGAAAAAGGAAAGTCTTTTTAATAAATGGTAATGGATCAACTGGGAATCTACATGGAAAAAAATTAAGCCCTAACCCATTGCTCACATTATGCATAAATAATTACTTGAAATAGACTATGGGCTTAAATGTAAAAGGTAAAACTATAAACTTTCTACATGAAAATATAGGAGAATATTTTTGTGATCTGTGAGCCTCGGATTTCTTAAACCAAATATGAAAAACCGTTAAGCATACAATAAATAAACTATAGTTCATCAAAATTAAAAACTTGTGCTCATATAAAGACGTTGTTAGAAAATAAAAAAGATGATTGGGCAGAGTGGCTTCCACTTATAATGTCAGCACTTTGGGAGGCCAAGACAGGTGGATCACCTGAGTTCAGGAGTTTGAGACCAGCCTGACCAATATGGTGAAACCCCATCTGTACTACAAATATAAAAATTAGCCAGGAATGGTGATGTGTGCTTGTAGTCCCAGCTACTTGAGAGGCTGAGGCACAAGAATCACTTGAACCCAGGAGGCAGAAGTTGCAATGAGCCAAGATTGAGCTACTGCATTCCAGCCTGGATGACAGAGCGAGACTCCACGTCACCCCTCGAGTAGCTGGGATTACAGGCATGTGCCACCACACTGGCTAATTTTTTATATTTTTGGTAGAAATGGAGTTTCACCATGTTGGCCAGGCTGGTCTCAGACTCCTGACCTCAAGTGATCCACCCTCCTTGGCCTACCAAATTGCTGGGATCACAGGTATGAGTCACGTGTCTGACCAAAAAGTGTTTTTTTAATAAACTTAAACATATACAAATCTTATCATCTAAAAATTTTACTCCTGTTTATCCCAAAGAAATATAAACATATATCCAAAAGTAATACTTGTACAAGAATGTTCATCACAACTTTATTCATTATAGCAAAACATCAGAAATAATTCAAACATCCATCAACAAGGAAATGGATAAACTAATTACGGTGTATTAATAAAATACGGTGTATTAATAAAATAGAATTACCTAGAATTACCTAGTAACAACAACATGGATGAATTAAAAAACCTTATATGGAACTAAAGAAAGACACGAAAGATTATATTGTGTGAAGACACCGAAGATTATATTGTGTGATTCCATTTACATAAAGTTCAAAAAGAGGCAAATCTTACCTATGGAGTTAGAGATCAGAAGAAGAATTGCTTCTGTGGGCAAGTGCAGTTGACAGGATACGGACACAGGGAGTTTTCTGGAGTGATGGCAATTATTTCCTATCTTGAACATTTGTCAAAAAGCATCAGATTATGACACAAGATCTATTTATTTCATTTTATGTCGTGCTTAATTAAAAAAACAAACTAACTAACTAAATCCTTCAAATTGCGATACCCAGCACAATTAAGTAAAAATTTTCACTGTGCGTTCATATTTAACCACAGACATGAATACTAGTTATAATAACAATATCTATTGCTTATTGACCACCTCTTCTATTGAACCTTCAGTTGATCCACAGAAGCCCTGAGTTCGTACTTCGTGTATTCATTTTTTCATTCAACAAATAGTTATTAAGTGCCTACTGTGTACCAGGCACTATTCTTGATGCTTGGAGTCCATCATAAATAAGAGAAAAAATAGTTTCTGTACTCAAGAAATTTAGATGCTAGTATGTATATGGAAGAGATGAAGTAGACTGGAATTCTATGGACTTGTGTGCTGCTTAAGGAAAGTGTTAGCATCTAGTTAATTGTCCTTGGTTTTAACCTCCTTTCTTCCCTCTGATACATGCTGTAGGCCACCATGCAAGTGGTTTGCAACTCCATGAATGTATATACTGAGTTCATTCATGTACTTGGGACTTTGAATATGCTTTTTTGTGTGTGTGCTTATAATGTTTTCTTGTATCCTTACTTTCTTTTACCTATCTTTCAAATCCTGATTTTTCTTTTCTCTTACACATGTAAAATCAAAATGCAATTCGTGTTTTTTGTAATTATCCATAGGAGGTAGAGAATTGAAGCCGTTCTGCCTTATGTGATTGGGTTTTGGGGTTTTCAAACTTTTGATGTTACACAATCTGCAGTTCACTTTTGGATTCACACAAATCATTCCCTTTGGTTGGTTTTACCCAGTCCTGGGGCAGGCTTGGCACACACCTGTGAATTTTCTGTACTACCTTAGAATCTGACTCATCTGTAAGGGAGCCGGTACTCAAGGAGGCCACTGCAGTGCAGGTGACAGCTGCCCTTGATACACTCCATTTCCAGATACAGAAAATGCCTTTTAATATTTTGTGGGCCCTTCTTCAAATTCCTGTTGAAACACAGCAATTTCCCATAAAAGGCAGCTTGGGGAATTGCTGCTGAGTTGAGCTTCGAATGCACAAATGCTGCCTGTAGTTATTCTATTCTCTTGGCACTCAGGGGATCTAGAGCTTCGGAAATAACTCCTTGTGCTTCTGTCTCAAAGAAAGAGAAAGCCAGTGGAGCGGGTAA